TACCCAAATCGAATCAGTCTCTAAGGAGTCTTCACAGCGGACCTGCCCCACCCCAGAACCAAGGGGCAACATCTTAGCATCTGTGATTACAATGATTTCAAAGCGTGCTGTATTTCCTGTGGTCCATCCAGACCATGGGCTCTTCCTCGTCAGTCAGTCAGCCTAGAAGGAGGTCCATCTCTATGTCCCAATATGGAAGTCTGGGCTTAGTAGAATTTTAAAGGGAAAAAGAGTGAATTACAAAACAGTATGTACAGTTCAATCCCACTTTTGTAAAATATAAAGTATGCATCTACGTTTGTGTATGCTGCTGGTAGAGTCTGGAAAGAGAAACACAAACTGAACTCCCCCAGAAAAAATGAGTGGGAATTTTTCACGTATTATTATTTTTTTTATCCTCACCCGAGGACATTTTTCCATTTTTTGTTCAGGTAGAGTGGGAGGGAGAGAGAGGAACAGAGAGAGAGAGAGAAACATCGATGTGAAAGGGACACATCGAGTGGCTGCCACCCGCACAACCGACCAGGGTCGGGGACAAACTGCAACCGAGGTACGTGCCCTTAGTGGGAACCGAACCCGGGTCTCTTAGGACCGCAGGCCAACGCTCTAACCGCTGAGCCAAACCGGCCAGGGCTTCACGTATTATTTTTTAAAGGAAAGCATTTGTTGATTTTATAACTTTTTAAGAAATCTAAATCTTGGGGTCCTTTATTCAGCAGGGGGCCTAACTTCAAATCAACAATTGCCTGGAGCAGTGGGCCAGCAGGTAGTTTTCGCTTTTCTTCTGGGCTGGTTTTTCTCACAGCCTGGCTCACCTCCGCTACAAAACATGAAGTGTGCGTTGGCCAGGCTGCAGGAACCTGGGCTCCCAACGCACGTGAGCCGAGCGCGGGGCTCCCGGGATGGCGCCCCAGGGGAAGCGCACGCGAACCCGCCGCCCTGGGTGAGTCACTGCCAGGGGCCCACAGGTCCGACTCCTGGGGACCTGCCACTCGTCCTCCTTCCTTCTCTGCCCCCAGTGGGACCATTCCCACCAGCAGGGAGTTGGAAGGAGGAGGACTCCTGAAGTCCCATCACCTACACCAAGTGAGTGGTTTCATGTTACTTCCCACTAGGGATAAGGTTCAGGAAACAGGCCGACGACTGAGGTGACACAATCGCGCCACAAACAGGACAAGGAACCAAGTGCTTACAAGCACCCCATCGCCCCCCAACAAACATCCAACCACCCACGCTCCAGGGCCCAGCCATGCGGAAGCTGGGGCTTCTACCTTGAGCGGCATGCGTCGTTGCCACAGTAATCCAGAAACGCCTGCGAAACCAAGTGCGGGTCACCTAGAGTAAGGCGACAGAACCTGTGGCGGAGAAGAGCCCCCGAGTGCGGTTCCTCTGTGCCAGGGCTGGACCGCAGCCGCTGCCCGCTGCCCGCTGCCCGCTGCCCGCTGCCCGCTGCCCGCTGCCCGCTGCCCGCTGCCCGCCAGAGTCCATGCTCTGCAACGCGCACCACCGACGCCAGGATCTCGCGATGGCCTCGCGTGGCCGGCGGGCCCCCTGCCCTGCAGCGCCCCCACGCATCGCCCCCACCAACGCAGGGCGCTCGGCTGCGCCCCAAGGCTGCGGCAGTGAAAGATCAAGGGGCGGGGGCGAGATTCAGGGCACGGCCTCTGGCCTCGCTTGGATTCGAGAAGTAAAAGAGTGAGGGAGAGTCCCGGAGGAGTTGGGCAAGAACTGGGGAGCATCTTGGGTGATGCAGGTGCGGGTCGCGCCAGGGACAGCAGTTGCAGGCCAAAGAAAAGTGTGGGAGATGAAGTTCAGGCCCAGTCTCTGATGCAGCTGAAAGACGCGCTAGGGGTGGGGGCAGCAGACATCACAGGCCCCTGGAGAAGTCGCGGAGGGCGCCTGGACCCGTGCTCCTGCACTCCGCAGGCGCGAGGTTGCAGGGTCGGGCTGGCCGCTCTCAGGGCCTGGGAGCTCTACGAGACTCCGCCAGAGGGGACCACCGCGTCGACCATGATGTGGCCTTGGAGGGCACGATTTATCCTTACTTTAACCCTGGCCATCCTGAGGTTGTGTAGTTACACGGTGTGTGACTGGCTTGGTTTATTAATCCCACAACTGGAGACTCTACTACCAGTTTAATATTTATTGAGCACCCAAAATATATCAAACACAGTACAAGCCCCAGCCTGAAGAGCTTCACACAGTGAGTCAGCCACACATGCATCTAACACATAGCAAAGGCATCAATGCAGGAAGAAAAATCAATTGAGGATCCACCTTGGAGAACAAAGGTGCTTCTGACCTCTCATCTGTGGGGGGTGGGCCCTAGGCTCTCACTTGCAGATCCAGCCATACTATTGCCTGGGTCCCCTTGATGTCCGTTCTGTGACTTGCCTTTGCAAGACTACTTGATGTTCAGGAATGCAAGCCACAGGACAGAGGTGGTTAACTAGCCTACTGAAAAAATAAACCTGGAACTTAGCTCCCCCTGGAGAGCAGCAGGCTGAAAATCCACAAGAACAAAATTCAGGAAGGTTACATTAATGGGAATACTCTCTTACCTTAGCATCTCTCACAATTGCTAATTCCAGGTAACTGTTGCCAACACATATTGAAACACTCCCCGGCCGATTTAGTGAGATAAATCTATTGATTGGCTGCCAAAAGTGAGATCTGGTGACAATGCCTGCAAAGAGGATTACAGAACCTCCCGTCAGCCTCTGAACGGGCTGCTGCCAAGCACCAGACTGGCTCAGTTCCCAGCCCCTGGCCTGTTCGCCTCCTCGCAGGAAGAGGGCTGATGCTTGGTGTTTCCTAAAGTGAACTATAGTACATACAATTTTCTACTTCAACCTTATGTCGATGTCTCTAGGACACACTTCCGAGAGATTTTTTTTTAAGTTAGTTTTATAGTCAAACTAGTCCCAAATAGATTTCAGAGAGGGTAAGGACTAATTGGTTGCTATTCATTTGCCAATTTGCTTAATTTGTGAAAATCTTTGCAAACACAGCATAATTCTCCAACCTCTGTAGCCTCTCCATAAAATCCATATAAATGTTAAGTTGTAAGCATGATAGAAACAGGTGGCAGCTTTTCTGGTAATTACTGGGACACTTTCTTCTCACAGTTGACATAGACTGACTTACACCAAGCTAATCAGGGAATACTTCAATTTTTGAATTTGGAATAATTCCTGATATATATAACTTTATAATGCAATTGATCTGATTGGACTCATACAGTGCCTTACACATAGAAGATGTGTAAGGAAACTGTTGAATGAATACCTAATATCCCTGATTATAATGAGTTGCCTCCATGTGATTCATCAGGTTAAAAGAGTATTCACAAAGTGTGGCGTGTAACTCATTGTCAGAATTCAATTCCAAATTCTTAATACCTGTGACAGGTGCAATTAAAGCTTTATGCAGGTGTTTCTGAGATTCTGGGCTACATTACTAGAGCGCGGGTCTTTGTTCTCTACCTCCATGGATGAAGCTGACAGTTCTAGTGTCATTGCCAAAGGTAACTTGCATCTCCCAAGTTAACCTGTGTTTTCCTTTCTCCCAACCCAGGCTTTTCCTACCCTTCCCCATGCTTCAAAAACTCTATTCATATAACTGCTAAGGAATCATATTGATAAATAGCCCAACCATGACTACTCACTCTTTCATTGTGGTTGTTGACATTGGAGAAATAAGATTTAATCTTTGTCATTCCCAAGTCGCCCCCTCCTTCCCTCCCTTTCGGGGCACACCTTAATGAGTGAGTGAGTGCATTTCTGAGAGTAAGAGAAGGGGGAGGTGGGGAAACATTGGTTCTGCTGCTTAGTGACCTGTGGCAGTACTGAAATCTTACAGATGGTAACTGAGTGACTGCAGACACTAGTTCATGCCCCGTATGCCACAGGGGCTGATCTGACAGCTGGGTATTATGTATCATTTCCAAAGACTCCTGCCCTCACTGCCTGGTTCCTGTTCCAACATCAGTGTGGAAACCCTTGTCACAGGGCACTTGTCCTCATTTACAGAACTCTTGGGAGGTTAAGGTGAGAATTCTCAGCATAGTATCAGAGTCCAACAGTCTTCACCTGTTCCCTTAGAGAATTAAGTGTTTGATCTATGCATCCTGTGAGTGACAGTTTATTTTTCTGTTTTGGCCTCAAGTAAATGTCTCCCAGTCCTTGTATTCTGGGATGATCATGTTCCAAGTATGTCACTACAGAGCAGGTGCTGAGCCGTTGGAAGACAGCTGTGGATCTGTTGCAACCGAGCAATTATAGAATGCAGGAGAGTGCTGTGGCACACCATTTACACTGAGTATTTCGAAAAGCAAATGTTTGAGTGCCCACCTTGTGGCAAATCCTGGGTGTGTGTACACAAACATACACACAGATGATGAGATATCTGTCCTATGAATGGCTATATGTGCTCTTAAGTGACTGGTACATTTTCCTCTTTATTCCTGTTTATTTATCTCCTTGTTGACTAATTAATCTAATCATTTTCAAATAAAAGTTGGGGATCAAAGGGGGGTAAACAATAGCAATACCTTTTCAAAGATGGTTTGTAAGAGTTTTGTACTATAAATGCAAGTGGATTTAAAATTAAAACCCTTTTGGTATATAAAGATCTTCTTCAGGGAATGCTTATTCAGGAAATGTCATAAATTTACATCCTGATGTAGATTGGTAATATATATTTCTTTGGAATTCTGGAAATAAATGGATTCAAATGAACTAAGCAGTATCAGGTATTATATCTCAGCTGCATCCTTTTTAAAAAGCAATCTAAACGCTTTACCAGCTCCAATGCGGTCACTCTAAATCCTACCCCCATTGTTCCTTCTCACCTCACCACTGAGCAAACAGAAGGAAAAGCAAGAAAGGCAGTCGCAGTGCTGAAGTACTGTTTTAAACCTGGAGAAAGAGCGTTGTTTGGCCTTTAAAGCATAAAGAGAAAATAAATCCTTTTTCCTCTCCTGAGCCTCCTCCAAGCAAAGCACATGCACCAAAGCCCACTTAACATTTTACAAAGACTCAAGGACAAGACGAGGCAAGGCCGTGGGACAAGAGGGCTGGACTGGAAGTTTTTCCCGTATTGGTGTAGATCTGGTGCTGGGAACAAGCTCTCCAGTCCAGCCTCCGTGGGCACTCTTGGAGACCAGTAGACATGGAAATCTCCAGTGCAGGCATGATGCAGTGGCATCAGATGACCACGCTGACTGTCGTGCTCTGGCCATGTGGCGTGATTTTGCGGGGCCAGGCAAGCAACAGCTTGCGCAGCTCCTCGCGGAAGCTGTCGTGCAGCCAAGCGTAGATGAAGGGATTGTAGCAGACCGAGCTCATGGCCAGCCAGTGGCAGAGCAGCTGCACTAACCCGAAGGCGTAGGGGTCAATGGCGCGTGGGTCGAGGTCCCTCAGCAGGTTGAAGACGTGCAGCGGCAGCCAGCAGATGGCGAACACCACTACAACCACCACCAGGAGGCAGAAGGTGCGGCGGCGCCGCGCGCGGTCCCAGTCGGCCTGGCTCTGGGTCACGCAGCCGGGCACCACGCGGTTTCGGAGCTTCACTGATACTCGGACATAAGACAGGAGGATGACCAGCAAGGGAAGCAGGTAGGTGACGAACAGCAGCCCCCAAGCATAGAGCTGGCGCTGGCGCTCCTGGGCCCCCCAGAACTCCTCGCAGAGGCGCACGCGGTCCGGCTTGAGCTCCACATGGTAGGTGTGCAAGGCGGCGGGCAGCGCCAGCACCGCGGACAGCGCCCAGATGGCCAGCACGGCGTAGGCGCTGAGGCGCAGCGAGATGCGCCGGCGCAGCGGGTGCACCAGCACGACGTAGCGGTCCACCGCAATGGTGGTGAGCGTGAACACCGACACATAGACGGTAACCGGCTGCAGGAAGAAGACCAGGTGGCACAGGCCACCGCCGAACACCCAGCCGCGTGGCTCGAAGGCGTAGGCCAGCGTGAGCGGCACGCAAGCAGTGCACATGAGTACGTCGGACAAGGCCAAGTTGCCGATGAGGAAGTTGGTTACGTTGTGCAGCCGACGCACCCGTGCGATCACCAGCACCAGCAGGCAGTTGCCCACCAGCCCCACGACCACCACGATGCTGTAGAGCAGCACGATCAGCCCCTTCAGCTGATGTACCAGCTGCAGACTCTGGAACGGCGTGACAGCCTGAGCGCCTGGGCCAGCCACCGACCCATTGCCCACCGAGGCCTCTGCACTCTGGTTGGCCGGCGGAAGTCCAGAAAATAAGTCAGGGACCAGGGGGTCCTGAGTCGGCAGTGAGGCCATGGCCACCTGTCCAAAGAGAATCAAAGTCTGTCAAGTTCCATTCTCTATCCACCCTCTCCAAACCAACTAATTACCCAAATACTCCCTTTGGAATAACTAGCCAAAATAAATAACAACAATTTAAAATGCTGTTATCCCACCTTTGCAAAAACTAATCTATGTGTGGTTATGCATGCACAGGTTATTTAAATACCTAGGCAATTTAGAGCTCTCGCAGTCCACGCAGGCTAGACCCAGGAGCAAAGTCCTACCTGGTGAGTGTGGCTCCGCGGGCGGGAAAGCGCTCCAGGGAGGGAGGAGTAGATCTGTCCCCTGGAGGTCCTCCGCCCACGTCTGCAGTTTAGGCTTCTCGCTATTCCGCCGGAGCTGAACAGATTCAGGAGTTGCCAGTGGACTCTCAGCTTTTGAGGGGGACTGGGAGCGCCTCCCCTCTGCCCCGCCCCCACTCCAGCGATCCCTTGTATGGAAAATGGGGGCGGAGCGCACACCACCAGACTCGGTGCTTAGACAACTAGAGAGAAGGGCGAGTGTCAGGAGGATGGAAACAGAAAAGGAAGGAAGGGTTGACAAACCTGAACGAAAGAGAATCTCGACTGCAGGAGCTGGCTGTGCCCTAGGAGAATCCCGCTCCGCAGAAGGGTGGGGTGGACGAGGGGAGAGTGAGGTGCGAGGTGCCAGTTCTCTCGGAAGACCTGGTGCAGTTTCAAGAAGGAAGGAGTGGGGTGGGGATTGAAATACACCACTGGATGTGGGAGATGAGCGACCCGTCCTTAAGCGTTGGCTCCTGCGTAGAGTCCAGGCTGGGGTTAAGAGAGTAGCATAGGGGGTTCTGTCAGGGATTTAAAATGTAGAGCCCGGAGCTCGCTGCAGAACTTCCAGCCCTCGCCCTCCCCAGGACCCACTGAGCCCTTCACCTAGGCTGCGGCTCCCGCCAAGCCAAAGAAAGGGTTCAGCACCACGGACAGGTCCCGCGGTCCCTGCTGCTTGAGCTTGTGTGCCCGGGAGGGAAGTTCCGACCCCTCTCTGGGTCCGATGCATTCGGGAAAGGGACCAGCCTGATTCAAACAGCTCCCTCGCCGCCAGCTTCCTGGGCTGGGGCTGCCACCTCCGAATGCAGTAGGGTGGAGTGGAGGCCAATGAGCCGGGGTCTCTGGGGGTTGGAGGGTGGTGACTTGTGCTCCTGCTGTAAGTCACCGCGCTATAGTGCCAGCGCCAAAGATCACAGTTGTCTTTCACCTCTCTGGGTCAGAAAATACAGCCCTCATTCCATTTCTACTGCACAGACACACTTTAATACCTGGCCCCCGCTGCTCCCCTACTCAACCTTTTCCACTCTTTCCTTCTCAGCCACCAAGCCCTGTCCCTTACTTGCCTAACTCCCAGTACAGAATGTAAGTTCCATTCCTGGCCTGGAACACTACCCTCACCCTTCTTGTATGAACACCCCCAAGCCTCCTCACCTCATTTTAGGAATAAAATATATATGTACACTAGTAATTGCAGGATTTCCTCTAGGGTAACAAAAATATGAGAAGTTTAAAACTATCATAAAATCTTTAGTAGTATTAGCCCTGGCCGGCTTGGCCCAGTGGTTGGAGTGTTGGCCTGCGGTCCGGAGAGACCCGGGTTCGGTTCCGCGAAGGACACATGCCTCGGTTGCAGTTTGTCCCCGGCCCTGGTTGGTCCTGTGGGTGGCAACCACTCGATGTGTCCCTTTCACGTCGATGTTTCTCTCGCTCTCCCTCCCACTCTATCTGAACAAAAAATGGAAAAATGTCCTCGGGTGAGGATAAAATAAATAAATAAATAAAAAATAAAAAATAAATCTTTAGTAGTATTAGGTCTCCATTGATATGCAAATTAACCTGGACCACAGTGGTGGGTGGGGTGGGAAAAAAGGTTTTGTAACTTCCCTCCTTCAGACAAAAATGGGGCCACCTACTAAACCTGTCTATATCAGGGGGGCTGCATGGTGGGCCCTACAAACTCAGAGACTGAAAGTAACCACATAGGATGGTCTGAACATAAAAATTCCTAACTAAACGCAGATTATGGTGGGTAGCCACATTCTAGGCCTGTCAGTTCCTTTACAAAGGTCAATCTTTTTCTTAAATAAGCCCTTCTATTGTCTTTTTTGCATCTAACATACCTTTGCAATTTCAGAGTAATCTCTTTTTCCAGACCCCTGAGGACCCACCCACCATACCAGAGCACTTGACCACCGAATCCCTCATTGTTATCTTGTTCCCCAGTACCATATGTATGTGTGGTAAATGTTCATTGTTAACTGTGCTACACCTACCAATGTAAAAGAAGATGTATTTCTCCCCCTTCTCTAATCCACCACCCATGGATTTCATGCAACCCTCCTTACGTCTTCCCCTTTGATTCTAATGTGTAAAATAAAGCACAAAACTGTCATTCTCTGGAGCATTTTCTCAATCCATTGAGATTTTGCTTCCTGGCAATTGTCGTCAGTTTGGCTCAAATAAATTCATAAAAATTCTCTACAGGTTTAGATGTTTTTTACATGACACTCCTTCAAAGCCATCTCATCCCTTCACATCTTATTTCCTTTTTCCAGAAGGTGGAGTTTCCGTGCCCTTCTCTCATAAGCCCTTGTACGTTGTCTTCTGGATGCAGATATCTCTGTTAGGACAGAAAGAAGTGAAATTAGTCTACCCTCCAAATTGAAGTGATTCACTCGTACAGGAGGAAAAGTCAACATTGGAACAAAAGCAATTAATTTTATGCACCTGTATCTATTCCAAACCCACACTCTCTGAGTTATAATCAGTTTAGCTAAAGCCCAAAAAATCTAGCTTCCAACGATATAAGAAATATAGCAACACTTAAAATCTAGCTTCCAAAGATATAAGAAATAGAGCAACACTTTATACCAGGGTTTCTCGCCCTCAGCACTACTAACATTTGGGGCAGGATAATTCGTGTCATGTGAGGCTGTCCTGTGCACTGCAGAATGTTTAGCAGCATCCCTGGCCTCTACCCCCTAGATGCCAGGAGTACACATACCCAATTTCAACAACCAGAAATGTTTCTAAAGATTGCTCAATATCCCCTGGGGGTGGAGGAAGGGGACACAATTCCCCCTGGATTTTCAGGGAGTGGCAAGAACTATCTACTAATAGATAACCACTGCATTGTATAGATAACCATTGCTTTGTGTACACAGAAACTGATTGTTCCCTCAGGCATAACAGCTAACTGCAAATATCTGCTTCTGTACGTGCTTGCTTGCTCGCATACCCTTAACCCAAATTCCTTAACAGGGGCTAAAACAACTATATAAGCAACCCACCCCCTGAGCTCGGGGCTGCTCTCTCCTCTGAGTAGGATGGGACAGTTGCCGCGGCTAATAAAGCTCTTCTAAGTTGAACCCAGTTCGGAGTCTGAGTCTGGTCTGTCTCGTTGGTCTACAACACAATCACCCCGGTTGAGAACCAGTGCCCTACACCAATTCAGCACTCTTCAAGTTCACAAAATACTCTGCTCGAAAGTGCTCGCAACCTTCATAGTTAGCTCTCTTCAGACATCTGAACCCCAGAATCGTATTTCAAAAATTTTGCATGTACTGTTGTAACCCAGGAGATCGACCAAACTCAGATGCCGAGATGGGGTTTAATAAAAGGAGTTTATTGAGCTAAGTCCGCAGGCACCTGCAGTATGTCTCACACAGGAGTAACTGCGGCCTCGGGGAGCTAAAATGGCTCCTTTTTATAGGATTTTGTAAGGGGGCTGCTATGTGTAAGCAAGCATGTTACAGAAGCGGAATTTAGCGGTTAGTTAATTATTTGTTACTCAGTTTCCCAGACATCTCAAAGGTCAAGATGTTTTCAATAGATTATTCCTGGCGCCGAGCCCAGGATTACTCAAGGGTTAGTTATTACCCCGGGGTTAGCGATTACTCAGGGGTTAGTTAGTGAAGAATGTTCTTCAGTAGATGAGTAACTGACAACCCCTTTGGTTGTCGTGAAGGCCTCTGGGAGTTTAGGTCAATGGCACTGAGTTATAACAGTACCAGATTGTCTTCTTATTGCCCCCTCAAAGAACAACAGGGAAAATGGAAAATACGATGTTTACGAAAACACTAAGATAAGCCCAAGTTGATTGCCAAACAGAGGCAGTCACTGACCCCAAAGCCCAGGTAAGAACCAGCATACAGCTCTTGAACTTGTGTAGCAGTCCACCACTGCTAAATGTGAGTGTTGGACAAATCCTTTGTACTGGAAAAACCCCAGTTTTGGAAAATAAAAGAAATTCATAAAAATACCACCTCTGGGGGATCCTGAGGAGGTCCAGTGTGTGTGAAGGGACTGCACACGGCTGGCTCCTCTTGAATAATCCTTTGTCCTGCCTTATGTCACTGCCTCTCATCAATTCCCAACTCTTCCTCCAGAAGATCATCTGTGGTGAGAAGAATTTGATGTTTTTCCATATAAATGCTTTCCTTCATTTTATTATTGTTTACCAGGCATGCAAAGCCCAGGGTGAGATATTGTGAAAAGAGTCGAGAACCAAAAACAACAATAACCGAACATTATTGTCTGGAAATTTGCACTTTAGTGAGTAAGAGGGAAGTCTACAAAAATCACTGTGACGTGTGCCCATGACAAACACTCCTACCACCACCTGCTATGAAAGGAAGGCATTAACGACCACCAGGAAATTTACTAATTGCCTTAGCAAATTAGAATTGTGTTTACCTTTATAGACCATATTTATTTTCATTCACAAGAGTCTTTAAAGCACTTGTAACATTTTTTACTCAGCCATATCAACATTGCACATGTTATTTAAATGTACCTGCCTTCCTACGTTTATGTAAAACACACACAACAATGTAGGGCCCATTATGCATCTCTGAGTGTTCAGGTGGCAGGAAATGAATGAAAAGTGGGTGCTGTAATCATCAAAATGTTCTACAGGCTGAAGCTTTGTGTCAGAAATCCATTCCCCCTCTTGCTGCTGCTGCTGCTGCTCTTCCCAGGGGAGAGCTTGCAGTGATCCCTGCCTCCCTGGCAGGCCCTGGGGTGGAGCCAGTAGGCAAGAATGCTACATGGCACAACCCCTTTCTCC